TGAGGTGATGGAGGACCCATTGCCTGCAGGTGCTCCACTCTCAGCCCCGTCAGAAGAAGCAGAGGTTGCCTCTGGGTCCGGTAACCTTCCAGCCTCTCCTGAGCTACAGAGGCTCAGGGCAGAGAGGCGGAGGGAACCAAGTTCCCTCAGGAGGAGTGCTCGCCTCCAGGCCAGGAGAGACAAGTCACCAGAGGATTGGGCCACCCTATACCTCAGGGCAGATAAAAGCCGACCAGCCCCAGTCCCAAGTTGTGGGAGCAACATTGTTGGTTGATAGTTCCTGCCTGAACCCTGTCCTGCTTTTCTGCCAGAGCTCCTGACCTGCCCTGGCTCTCTGCTTGCTTGCTTGCCTGTTCCTGACTTCACCCGACTCCCTGCCTTGCACCCAGCTTCAGCTACTATGGACTGCCTCCACGTTGCACCTTTGACCATGGACTGGACTTGGACCACGCCTCTCGGGTAACCCACGGGACCAGCACATTTTGGTAGTTAGCCAAACTCCACCACATGCTGCTCCAATAACAATTTGTACTGCAGCCTAGAGGGTTTTTAAAATGCATTTATATTTATTTAGTAAGCACATATATATCCTGTTGTTCTTCCATCAGGGAACTCAAGGTCACATAGGCAGTGTTCCCTGGTGGTCTCCCATCCAAGCACAGACCAGACCATGACCTGCTTAGCTACAGCAAAGGGGGTGCATTTGGTGCCATGAGACCAAGTTGTATGTTGGCCTGCCCCTGGGAATGCTACCTTAGTCAGGTGGGGATGCTGACAACTTGGTTCTTGGAACTGCCACTTTAGTTCACAAGAAAAAACGGGTCAGCCTACAACTGCTCTTAACAGCCTTCTTGAAGCAAGAAGCCAATCTCGACAGCAGTCTTGGATCTCGTTCAGCCGAGGATTTCATGCTTTCAGAGACCATCATCTCTCCTACACAGTCACCGCCCACCAGCAATGAACCAACTCCCAGCACAGGGTCTGGAGCATGTTGTTAATGTCTAATTTATTGGGAGGAAGCTGCTCACCAGTCCCCAGACTTGCTCTAGGGACGCTTCTCAGCATATGGTGGAAGAGACTCGTGGGGATTACATCGCCGGTCTTTTATTTCGCCTTAGTCATAAAGGGAGAATCGATGAAAGCTATAAACAGTGATGTCATTTCCCGGGGAGAACAGGATTTTTACAAGGGGACTTCAAAACATTATTTGCATGCAGCATGAACTGATTTAAAGAAGCTGTTTTGGCCAAATGTTCCCGACTTTCAGTTTAAGCAAGTGTCAGCTCTAGCGTCCTGATCGCAAACACCGACAAATCGCATAAGGCCAAGAAAGCAATGTTTTTCAGCCAGATTCTCAGTCAATTGTGTGGAAATATTTCCTACTGAAGTCAGCGGGGCTTACCTCCAGAACTGGAGCCCCATATGTTCCTGCATGCATGGACTTCCCTTTGGAACAACAGAGCGCTTAAGCACAAGCCTGTGACGCAAGGATGGGGAACCTGTGGCCTTCCAAATGTTGCCAAACTACAACTCCTATCAGTCCTGGCCATTGACCATCCTGGCTAGGACTGATGGGAAGTGGAGTCCAATAGCATCTGGAGGATCAAAGATTATCTTGATAACCTGCTATACAGGTTGACTCATTTGCTAAAAGGAATGGGGACATCTGAACAATGAAGATTTCTCTGTGTGTAGATCACAACTCCCATGCCCACACTGTATCTGAATATTTATCACCCATCTTAAAAGATCTGCGCTGGCTTCTAGTAAGTTTCTGGGCTTAGTTCAAGGAACCAATTTTAAAAGACCTAACAGCTTTGGTCAACCAGAGCATCTAAAGAACAGTCTTCTCCCAGATGGGCCTCCCCGAAAATTAAGTTCTGCTTCAGAGACCCTCTTCTGAGTGCCTACATTGGGAGAGATTAAGGGTGTGGCAAACAGACAGGGTCTTCTCAGTGGTGGCACCTCATTCATGAAATACCCTTACCAAAGATATGTGGGCGACAGTAATACTTACATTGTTTTGACAGCAGATTAAGTCATTTTTATTTTGACAGCCCATTTTATTTGCTCCTAATACTAACTTCACTGAACAGCATTTAACATCTTTAGATTTTCTCTTCCTTTTACAGGCAATCTTTACTGCTATATGCCTGCCGTTCTTATGACTTGCTGTTACCTCGAGATCACTACTTTGAGGGGAAGGGAGGAGAGGATTTTTAAATAAATAAAACAGATTGCTAGAGCCAGACAAAAGTGTTTGAGAGGGACATAGCGACACAGCTACCTCTTCTGCCTGATGTATCCATCTTACTATTTAGCCACTACAATACCTAGATTCCCCATGAATATAATGGAATCTGTCCTCAGGGAGTCTCAGGAAAACAATATACTTCACCATTAGGATGTCATACAAAGTGAATTCTGTCTGGCTCGTAATGCTTAAAATAATCAAGTTGGAAGAGTCTCTCCAATGTCATCTAGTCCAACCCCCAGCCTATACAGGGAGCCGGCTACTGCAGGATTCCCGATAGAGGTTTTTAAGCAGAGACTTGCACGGTCCCCTAACAAAAGAGAGTCCACCTTCCGAGGCAGTCTGGTCCACTGCTGAACAACTTGTGCCATCAGGAATGCTTCCTAAAGTTCAGCTAAAATCTTCTTTCTATGTGAACCTGCTGTGGGGTGGGGAATCTTGGGGCCGAATACCCCATTGCAAGCCTCTCTGTGTGCCCCTCAGGATTCTCCCTGAGCTACACTCCTCACCAAACCTGCTCTGCACTCTCACTGACTGCATTTTCCTGGCTGGAATGTCTCCCGGAACAGCGATAACGCCTCTTCCTTGCCTAGATGGAGGATGGAACGACATCTGTACACAGAAACCTCTTATTTGCCTGTATCTATGGCTCCACACAGTTTTGCCCTTGGCCCCACCTACAAGTGGCATGGAGTCCTCCCAGATCCTAGCCCAAAGCCCGTTTCCTCCTGCGCCAGTCTTTGTGAAAGGAATCATTCATTCTTATGGCTGAGGATGCAATGAAGGCATCTCCACACCTGCCTGGAGTCGCCCTGGTGGCCTAACTCAACATGCTTCTAGACGCAATATGACTGCTCATCAGACACCTGGGTCAATGGGGTCTGGTCCAGGAGAGGGGAAAGCAAAATGTCACTTAGAGAAGGATCTGAAATATTTTGAAGCTTGAATTTGTTTTATTCTGGATTGTTTTATTTGAAGTTTTAATGTGTTGCAAACCGCTTTGGGATTTCCCCTCCTTAAAATAAAAAGTGGTATAGAGATGGAATGAATGATCATCATCATCATCATGGCAATCAGACAGCCTCTTATTGAGCAGCTACTTGCCTGGGCTGGGACGCGGGTGGCGCTGTGGGTTGAACCACAGAGCCTAGGACTTGCCGATCAGAAGGTCGGCGGTTCAAATCCCCCAACAGGGTGAGCTCCCATTGCTGAGTCCCTGCTCCTGCCAACCTAGCATTTTGAAAGCATGTCAAAGTGCAAGTAGATAAATAGGTACCACTCCGGCAGGAAGGTAAATGGCGTTTCCGTGTGCTGCTCTAGTTTGCCAGAAGTGGCTTAGTCATGCTGGCCACATGACCCAGAAGCTGTATGCTGGCTCCCTCAGCCAATAAAGCGAGATGAGCGCCGCAACCCCAGAGTCGGCCACGACTGCTCCTAATGGTCAGAGGTCCCTTTACCTTTTCCTTTACTTGCTTGGGCTATAAACTCCATCCTCTTTTTACAAGTTCCACTGGAGAGTATCAGCTTGAATTAAGCCTCAGACCCAAGTCCTCAATCACCTCACTCCACAGGGGAAAATACTGACACAGGGTAGGAGAAATGGAGAGGAGGAGGATAGGAAATTAGGTTATCCTCATTGAACAGCTGCAGACTGTAAGATTCCAGCAAATGTTAAACACCAGTTTCCAGATGCCTTTAGTCAACACAAGGCAAGCTGGAGATGTGTTACTGTAGGGGTGGGGGACAACTTTCAAGCCAAGGCTTGCATCTCCATGCGGTTAACCTTCCAGGAGGCACATACCAAGGGTGGGTGGGACGAACGTCAAATGTGGGCAGGGCCAAAGTCATATACATATACACCCAGTTGCACATCTACACACACACACAAGCAAACCACTATCTCAAGCCCAGCCTTCCCTTTCCCCTCCATCTGTGATACAAAGACAATAGCCCTGACCTACTTTACAGGGTTGTTGTAATGATCACTGAGATAATGTGTGTTATATGTACACATACTGTAAGTTTCACAAAAATGAATGCGATGCTAATGTATTCACAGTTATAAGGTTTACAAACACGAATGTGTAAAATGCTGTTTTAATTTATACTATATTTTGCTTGCTGTTATTAGACTGAGATGGCCACTTTTAAAGTTGTATTTATCAACATGCAACTTTCTGTCATTTATTTCGTTGTGTATTGTATCTATTTATGCTTTAAACATTGGCTTGGATGCTCTGAGCAGAACAGCAGGATTCTAATAAACAGTAAGTATTTCCTTAGATCAGGGTGGGAAAATTGTGTCCCTCTCCCACTAGATGCTGTTAGACTACAAATCCCATCAATTGTTATTATTTTTTACCGTCGGCCATCCTACCTTGGGATGATGGGGGGTGTAGTCCAACAACATCCGAAGAACCAGAGGTTCCCTACTTTGGCTTTAGACCATAACCGATAGACTGAGTCAGTGTTAGTTTTAGTTTTTATACAGTGCCAAACAATTTTAGGTGCTTTATTAACGAACTATTATTATTATTAAATGGGTATTGGTCCTCCACCTATTGGAAGTTGAATTAACTGCATTTTAATTTCTCTTCACAACAGCATACAGGGTCTTCCCTTCATTTTATCCTCACAACAACCTTGTGAGGTAGACAGTAACTGGACCAAAGTCACCTAGTATGCTACATAACTCCCCACTCTTCATCTGAAACAATAACCTCTCAAAGATTGGGGGGAGGGCTATGAAGAGAGTGTGGCTGAGGCAGGGGACCGATCCAGGAGAGGGGACCAGTGATTTATGGGGTGTGATGCCACCCACAAGGCAGAAGCCAGGGGAGAGGGAGAGTCAAGGCAGTCTGAGGTGGAGGAAAAAGCGACAGGTCAGTAGATTCCTCACTTCCTCCACCCCAATGTCTCCTAGAACCAGGAGGGGCTTGAAAAGGAACCAGGCCTTTTTGGTAGTTGCACCCTCCCTCCCAGAAGATGTCAAACAGATAAACAGCTCTGTGATTTTTAAAAGACACCTGAAGGCAGCCCTGTTCAGGGAAGTTTTTAGTGTTTGATGTTGTGTTTTTACTATATTTTGTTGAATGACTGAGGCAACTCAGTAAGATGGGTGGCATATATTATTATTATTATTATTATTATTATTATTATTATTATTATTAGAGTTTGGATTTGATATCCTGCCTTTCACTCCCTTTAAGGAGTCTCAAAGCGGCTAACATTCTCCTTTCCCTTCCTCCCCCACAACAAACACTCTGTGAGGTGAGTGGGGCTGAGAGACTTCAAAGAAGTGTGACTGGCCCAAGGTCACCCAGCAGCTGCATGTGGGGGAGCAGAGATGCGAACCCGGTTCCCCAGATTACGAGACTACCGCTCTTAAGCACTACACCATTATTATTATTATTATTATTATTATTATTATTATTATTATTATTATTAAGCAATGATGACTTCTGTACAGGAGAAGCCTCAGGTTGTGGGCAGGCAAGCTGTCAGAGAAGGGTACATAACCCAGAGGAGGAGAGGGGTCCCACTGTTGCTGCAACTTCTCCAAGGGGCCCAGACCTGTGGCCAGCTACCTAGAGGCTAGAAGCATGTGTGCATGTGTATCCAGAGCACCATGGAAGCTACTGAAGGTGTTCTTCTTGCCAATAAAGTGTTAAGGAAGACACATGTCTTCCTTATCTGGGACGGGCTGTGACATAACCATGACATCACACTGGCTCTGTAGTCTTGCCACAGCCTGTGAACGTACACTTAAGCAACACTCACTCAGGATCACAGAAATCAGAATCTTTTGGCAATATTTATAAATTCCATGTGTGTGTGTGTGTGTGTGTGTGTGTGTTTTCTGTTGTAACCTATTCCCACCCCAAAATGGGTGGAAGGGGAAAGGGAGGGATCAAGGCCAAACTGAACCAACTTCCAGTCATCCTCAAGGTTCAGAAAAAGGTTATGCAGTTCAGTAATTAGAAACAGTTGTCAACATGGAAGCCACACCAAGTTATACCAGCAGCAAACAAACTTTTAAAAGGGGGGGGGGGTTGAAATGTTAATAAAAAAAAAACATAATGCGTGCAGGGAAGAAATACTGGAGGAGATCTAGGAATGGATCTGTCATTGCAGCGTCACAAGGAGTAAACACATTAAGCTGTACTAACAAACTCCAGACAACTCCATGACTGGGTGATTATAAACACTGCAAATGAGCCAAAGCACACAAGGAAGCCTGTTAAACCACAGCAGGGGTGATATAGCTTTTCATCTCTTGCCAGTGTTTCTCAGACTCATTGGACTTCCATTCTAAAATGTACCTTGTTTTGTGTGTGTGTGTTAGAGAGAGATTTATTACTGACAAGTGGCCCCTGCAACAAAATGTTGCAGTGCGGCGTGCTCCCTAGGGGGAAAGGCTGCAGCATATAAAACTTTTTAGTTTAGAGAGAAGGCAAGCAAGAGGTGGCATGATAGAAGTTTATAATATTATGCATGATGTGCAGAAAGTGGGTAGATAAAAAAGTTTTTTTCTCCCCTCTCTCATAGCACTCATAGACATGCAAAAAATAATGTTGGAAGATTTGGGACACATAAAGAAATTATTTCATGCAGTACATTATTGAACTATGAAACAAAATCCCACAGAAAGCAGACACAGCCACTAACTCGGATGGCTTCAAAAGGGCAAGGTCGACACTGTGCAAACGCACTAGTGGGCATGCTAAATTGGTTCCACTGGTTTGTTTGCACTGCGCTGACTGCCTCCCTTCCCCTCTTCTCTTTCCACAGGTATGCAACAGTGCGCTACTTACCAGGAAGACAGCATAGTGATTCCACCCCACCTGACAAGCCACTTCTGATACACACATTTAAACACTCACCAAGGCTTCTTATTTGAGGTCCCGACACAAATGTGCTGAGCAGGGACTGTTCGCCACTTCTTTGCCTCGACAACAAGAGCTTCTGCATCCACCAGGCCGAATCCATACAAATGGCTAACTGAAAAGACAGGTGTCTCAGAGATTCACTGGTTTATAAAACAAACCCTTATTTTTCACAGCCTCTCAAAACTCTTCCCCTGTCCCAGCACCTTGTGGGCTTTGTTCATGTGTTTGTGCAACGCTTTCACAAAAGAACAGCTTTAATTTTCCTCCATTCAAAACCTACAAAACGTTGTGTATTTTGCGCCTCTTGTGCCATCAGCTTAGATATTCTGTTCCCTCCCCTGCTTTAGTTCTAAATAATGTTGTATAAATGATTTGGATACATGACTTATTGTTATATAAATTGTTGATAGAAATAAATACAGCATTTAAAATAAAAATGGGGAACAGAACCAGATATCTAACTTCATGCTCAGCATCCAGAGGCAAAATGCAAAAGATAAAGCTAGTCTCATAGACCTGTCTCTAATACCCCATATTGCCCTATTATTAATTAAAAGTAAATTGACCCCTGACCATTAGGTCCAGTCGAGACAGACTCTGGGGTTGCGGCGCTCATCTCGCTTTATTGGCCAAGGGAGCCGGCGTACAGCTTCCGGGTCATGTGGCCAGCATGACTAAGCTGCTTCTGGCGAACCAGAGCAGCTCACGGATACGCCGTTTACCTTCCCGCCAGAGCGGTACCTATTTATCTACTTGCACTTTGATGTGCTTTCGAACTGCTAGGTTGGCAGGAGCTGGGACAGAGCAACGGGAGCTCACCCCGTCCCGGGGATTTGAACCGCCGACCTTCTGATCGGCAAGTCCTAGGCTCTGTGGTTTAACCCATAGAGCCACCCGCATCCCATTACTAATTACCGCATAATTACTACTATTATTATTTAGACTTGTTAGACGTTTGTTACCCAAAGGTCTCCAAGTGACTTACAACACATTTAAAAACATAACAGCTTCGTATGCTCAAAACACCATAGGAATCAGAACTAAAGTCAAGGTGAAGAGCAAAGAATTCCACAAAAGCAAGACTGCAAGTGCAGTTTTCACATTTGCTAATTTTGAAAAAGTTTGTAAAGGCTTTCTAGCTGTTACATTCCTGGCTTCAAAACTTAAGCATTTTTCAATAAATACTTTGAGGTTTCAGCTGTGCTGTAATGCATAGAGACCATTGGAAACCATCTGAAGCGGGGGATTGATAATTGATTCTTCAATGTTTTTTATGTGGTTGAAATTAATGTCAAATCAAGGTGGCGTGTGTTAACTTCCTATGAAGTGTGCATTGCTTTGCCCATCTTAAATGTTTATACAAGCTCTTCTGCCTACAGGCCAGACAAATAAAATGATTTGGGCCACTGAACTGACACAACAGTTGATATATGACTCAGCCCACCTATTAACCTGTGAGGACTGGAATGGAGATCACATCTGCAACATGTGTCCAAATCAGACTTTGGTAATGTATTTTATATTAAAGAAGTTAACCAGTATCTGTGATAAAACCTAAGCATTTTCAGTTTGACTGTAAAACTGCAAAGGAAAACTAGTGTTGTTATCTGATGCACTCTCTCTCTCTCTCTCTCTCTCTCTCTCTCTCTCTCTCTCTCTCTCTCTCTCACACACACACACACACACACACACACACACAATTGAAAGGTACTTCCTTTTGCATACATACCCATCCCTAATAAAAACAGTTTCTGGGAGGAAAAATAACGTAGAACCTACAGATTATTTTGTTTCAGAAGTAACCAAAAGTCTTACTGTAAGGATTACTTTAAAGTCACTGAAAGGAAATCCCAGAGGTAGAACTTAATTTTGACACAGGCTTGTTTTGCACCTTGGCAATAGTTTTTTGTCACAACTAAGAAAACAAAATGAAACAAAACAGAAAAAGGCAGGATTTCCCACATCGAATCACTATTCCAATCCAGTAGAAGTTAAGCCTTCTCAAAATGCTATTTGCTTTTGCATCTGTCACCACTGCTTGGATTTTGTCTCCTGAAACAGACAGGAGCTCGCAAATACCCATTGATAAAAAAGGCTTCTAAGGGGATTATCAGACCTCCGAACAACCAATAATCATTTTTCTTGGCAGGTCTGTGGGGCAAGTAATAGAAGGAGCTGTTTGAAATGGATACATGAGATCTCCAGCTCAGAAATCTCTGTGGATATTGATTTGGATTTATAACTTAATCCCACAAGCGCCGTGTGGGGAGATGCATTGCTAAGAGTAAGAAACAGAAGAATCATACAGGTTTATCGCCTAGTGGCAAGGTTTTTCTCTAAAAAAGTAGGAGTGTACATAGACTGCAACTGATATGGCTGGAGCATTCAGATGAAGGAACCTAACTGAGAATGTGTTGCACACAGACTTGGGACCCACAAGGCGATCTTTGTAGGTGATCTTGTTAACCATTGGAAATATGGAGCTTCAACAGCAGAGAAAGAACTTTTGCCATTTTTAATGCTAGTTTCAAATGGCCAGGACAGGCAGGTGCAGGATAAATGCTTTCTTCACATTTAGACTACTGCAATGTGCTCTATATTGGGCTGTTCCTTGAAGATGATCCATAGACTGCAGCTACTGCAGAGCGTTGTCCCCATTTGTTGACTGACGCACCTCCATTCAGCAATGCAGAAACCAAACCCAGCCCCCAAGCATGCATGTTAACTCACCTCGACGTCCAGCTCCATTTGTTTTCCAGTCGGGGGCCAAGAGGTGTCCTGGTCGAGATGTTTTAACGAGAAGGTGCTGAACGTCTCGCCAGGTCAGCAAAGGGCTAAAAGTCAAGGAAGGAAGAACAAGCCAAGGATAAGACAACATCTCTCTTGTTCTGTTGGTAGGATTTTGAAATGGCTAGGCTAAGGCTAAGGCAACAGCAGAAAACTCTCTAACATCAGTCAGTATATATAGCAAGAATTTGCCAGTATCTCCTACGGTGCCCATGAAACGGTCTCAGTAAACATCCTCTCAAAAATGCAGACTTCACAAAAGACTCTTTGCTCTTCCCACTCAGTTCCTTTTTGCACAGGCTCAGTCTCTCCTACACTGAACTTACCCCCTTAAATATGCCCCATAGAACGTCAGGATTGCACACCCACTCTCCCATCTGTTCTGAACAGAGAAGGGGTGCACATTGGCAGCAGTGTAGGTATCTTTTCCCTACTGATGGGGCATGACCATACCCATTTTGTGGTCCAGTCTCTTTTCAGCTGTTCTGGATGTGGCAGCCATTTTGTGTTGTGCCACGCCCCCGGCAACCATTTTGTGACTGGCACGCACTATACTTTGATCCAAATTCCAAATGTGTCCAGTGACCCCCAAAGGATGGCAACCGCTGGTATAGAGGAATATCAAAGTAATAGAATAGGTTTCTAATAAGTAACTCAAGCGATCCACCCCCCCCATTGTCATGGGTTCAAAATGGAAGTGCTTGTTTATACCAGCTAGATAAGTGGAGTTTGTATGAAGATTTTGGTATGTACCTTTTTGATTTAAGTAGTTTAGCTACCCTAAACACTTGCCTCTGAGAATGTGTTTATGTGTGTATAAGCCAAAATATTTAGAAGAATTCCAGTTACAAGCTGTCACATGGTCCTGTGATGCTTTTGCCCAGCAGGTGTTCCTTAAAGTGCCCGGAGCAAGGATGGGGAACCTTAGGCCCTATATCCGCTCTATATCTGGCCCTCTAGACACACTCTCTAGGCCACAGCCCCTCTTTCCTACCTGGCCCTCTATGCCAGAGCTTTCCAAACGTTTCATGTCGGCGACACACTTTTTAGACATGTGTAATTTTGTGACACAGCAATTCAGTTTTACTATCAAACCAGAGGTTAAACTAACCCCTTTCCAGCCCTGGGAGGAGCGTGGGGAATGTTCGCACGACACCAACACACAGCAGCCCAACACACAAACGTGTCATGACACACAGTTTGGAACGCTCCGCTCCATGCCTTCCTCAAGTGCTTTTGCTTGGTCGGAAACCCGAAATGCATCCTTCAGCTGTGACAATGCCTCTTGCTTGCCCAGATGGAGAGAGAGGTATGCATGCATGCATAGAAACCTCTGGCATTTGCAATGCTTGAATGTAGCTTCCATTCAAAGGTCAGAATCACATCCAACGTTGCACTCATTTTTGCCTCTGGCCCCACCCTGTGCTCTCACACAGCCTCTGGAACTATCCCTATCAGCCCTATCAGCCCTGCTATGATTATACAATAATCTGTTAACTATACAATAATCATTGGAGATGCATTGCAACGATCAGTGCAGGTCTTGTGTTGCCTTTTGACCAGATCTACTATTATCTGCCGCTCTGCCGTGAGTTTGTGGGGAGGGCCCCTTCCTCTGCAAGCCCATTCTCCATCTTGGGCCTGGGGGCGGGCCCCATACTCCACCTCAGCATATAAGGCTCCAAGGAGGCCTCGGGACATCGCTGCTGCCGCTTTGCCGGTGAGTCTTGGGGAGGACCGCTCCCCCTGCAAGCCCATTCTCCATCTTGGGCCTGGGGGCGGGCCCCATACTCCACCTCAGCATATAAGGCTCCAAGGAGGCCTTGGGACATCGCTGCTGCCGCTCTGCCGTGAGTTTCTGGGGAGGGCTCCTCCCTCTGCAAGCCCATTCTCCATCTTGGGCCCGGGTGGCGGGGCCCACACTCACCACCGCCACAACTTTAAGGACACTGGGGCTGCTGCAGCAAATTTTTTAAAATGTTTTTATATATTTTAAAGTGTTTTAAAGGTGTTTTTACTTTTTATTTTGTTGTACCACCATAAACTGTGGTTTTATCCATGTATTTTTATTTTGTTTTGTTTTATTTTGGGTTGGGGTGGGATGGTTGTTGGGTGGGGTTGGGATTGGTTTTGTTTTGGTGTAATTGTTTTTTGTTTGTTTGCTTTTATATTTTGTAAATGGAGACGAATATGAGGGGATTCCTACTGTGGAGGGGCGAGGGAGGTATGGCGGTGGGGGCAGATGTCATAGGCGAAGGGGATCGAGATACGGATATGCTCGTACCCCTTCCAATCTGCGCCCCATCCGGAGAGACGAGGGTAGGGTGAGCAAGGATTACTCACCTCCGTCACTGGTGTTGTGCAACGCCAGGTCTATAGGCAACAAAACCGCCACCCTGCGAGACTTCTTCATCTCGCAGGGGGTCGACCTGGCTTGTGTGACGGAGACCTGGGTGCGCGAAGGGGATACTGTTACCTTACGAGAGATGGCGCCCCCGGGTTTCTCCGTCCTCCACCAGTCGCGGACTGTGGGCCGGGGGGGAGGGGTGGCATTGTTAATCCGGGAAGATTGTTCTTTCAGGGCTCTACCATCGCCATCGATCCCCGGCATTGAATGTGTTGGCCTAGTGTGGGGCTCCGAGGTGAGCTTGGCTGTCTGGCTGGTGTACCGGCCACCTAGCGCACCAGCAGCCACCCTTTCAGGCCTGCTGGAGGCGGTGGCCGGCTGGGCCTTGGAGTTCCCTAACCTATTGGTATTGGGGGACTTCAACATCCATGCTGATGCCACTCCCTCCTCACAGGCTCTGGACCTGGTGTCTTCCATGGCGACACTAGGGCTCTCCCAGTTTGTTTCGGGCCCCATACATCAAGCAGGCCACACGCTGGATTTGATCTTTGGCGTCGGTATAGATGTGATCATGTTTCCTTCGATGAAGGTGCCATGGTCTGATCACTACGCTCTGAAAGCCAGGATTGACGTTCCACCCCCACCCTGCTTAGGTGGCGAGCCGATTTGGGCTCGCCTGCAGAGGCTGATGGACCCTGATAGATTCCGTCAAGCCTTGCGGGACCTTACTCCCCCTGGCGACTCATTGACTGAGCTTGTTGAGGGCTGGAATACCCAGCTCCTGGCAGCCATCAATGAGATCGCACCTAAGCGCCCTCTGCGACCCCGCAGAAACCGGGCTCCCTGGTTTACCGAGGAGCTCCGGAAAATGAAGCGGGACCTCAGACGGCTAGAGCGAGTATGGCGGGGTGCCCGTGACGGAGCTTCAAGAACATCTTATAGGGTTTTTATGAAAACCTACGAGATGGCAGTGAAGGCCGCTAAGAAGTCTTACTTCTCGGCCTCCATTGCATCCGCCAGCTCTCGCCCGGCGCAATTATTTAGTATAATTCGGTCTTTACCGTCCCTCGAAGGACAGCCAAATTTAAATAACAATTTGACACACAGCTGTGAGGCATTTGCGAGCTTTTTTGCGGAGAAGGTCCTGTTGCTCCGCCATGACCTCCCTGCCAATTTAGATACAATAAAGGAACTGGAGGCCCCTCGACTGTCCTCGGGTCCAGTATTGGACCACTTTGACCGGATACCCCCAGCCGATGTGGACAGACTCCTCCGAGCTGGAAAGCCCACCACTTGTCCTCTCGACCCGTGCCCGTCCTGGCTGATTAGAGCGTGTCCAGACGAGGTGCGGGCCCCCCTGGGGGATATCATCAACTTGTCCCTTGGCACCGGGACATTCCCAGGGGAACTGAAGGAGGCAGTGGTGCGCCCGCTTTTAAAGAAAACATCATTAGATCCCTTAGATCTATCCAATTACCGCCCGGT